TTAAACTAGTGTCGTGCAAAGGAAATAGGATTTGAGCTAGAGAGGTTTGTAGACTAAGGTGACTTTAATCCAGGACCCACTGAGTCAACGCTCACAGTCACACAAAACTTCCATTGAGTCAGTGGTGCTATGTTCGGCTCTTACAGTCTGCAGAACTGATGCTAATGCACCACAGAAGGGGACTTCAGAAAGAGTCACTGTGGGATTATAAGTGGGACCTTCACTGAAAGAAGAAGACAAGGTTTCTATAAGTCAGTGGTTTTCAACCTGTGGGTCACGCTCCATCTGGGGCATGCTCCACATGGAGCATGACCCAGATTTACAATATGATTCATAACAGAGGCAAAATTATAGTGATAAGCTGGCAACAAAATTATTTTATGTATGGGGGTCACTACAAGATGAGGAACTGTAAAAAATGGTTGCAGCATTAGGAAGGTTAGGAAACACTATGGTTTAGCATAAGAGGAACCTGGAAGAGGAGCCCATCAGTGGTGCCTAGTGTAATCTCCATTGTAATCTCCATAGCATTTATAGATGGAGGCACCGGTACCAGGGAGCTAACCTGATCCATGAGGTATCTAGATGACTGTTTGATGACTGTCTGTTTCCATTGGCTCACCCTTTGGGGAAGGATGGTAGTTTGCACTGTTATGGGCAATACAAGGTAGCACACCTGTATTCTACTATTTTTGGCATTGTAGATGTCACATGAAAAGATGACCTAATGTAATAAAAACTCAGAAGTCAGAAATTGAGATAGAGACCTGAAAGATCCCAAGACAACTGAGTAATTGACTGACCCTCTCTCCACCTTTTCCAGACTCTCAAGTCCTGAAAATTCCCCCCAAACCTCCAAAGGTTGGTGGTGTTTTTTTCTGGTTCTCTCGAGCCACACTGCAATGATTTTTCCTCAATACTGAGTGTTGAACCCATGGACAGGTCCTATTTAGGTCAGTTCAGGTGGCAGGCACTTGTACACATTGTCCTCAAAGACATAAGTATAGGGGAAATAGTTTTGTAGAGTTCCAAACCTTAGGACAGGAGTCTGACATGTATGTTTGCGTGTCTTTACTTGTGTGAACATGTCCAGTTACGACTGAAAGGAGTAACTTGCAGGCTAAGTCTGTAAGTACAAGTACATAGACATGCATGGACAAGGAGTCTCTGGCAGTTCTCATAAACGGACCTGAGAGATTGATGTGAAAAAATATCGAGAAATTCTAAAGGAACAAAATGTCACACTTCAAGGAGATAAGCAAGAATGTTGTAAAATGTGTTTTCCGTGGCGTCAGTTTCTGGCTGTGTCTCACATAACCAATCATCCTGCTTCCTTCTTGCAGAGAGAATGCTGGTGCTGATCAGGTCAAGGAGAATTTGCTTCAGCTGAGCTGTCACTTCACGAGGATGCTGTTGTTTGAAGACATTGACGTACCTGATTAAGAAATGAGAATCTTGGAGCAGGTTGGGCTAATAGATATCATGAGCACAGTGAGGATGCACAACCTCCTGGCCTACGTGAGACACCTGACAGGCCAGCGTGAGGAAGCCCTGCAGAGCCTGAAAGAAGTAGAAGCCTTGGCCCAGAGAGAGCAGTTGAACAAAAGAAGCTTGATGACCTGGGGCAACTGTGCCTGGGTGCATTACCACATGGGCAGCTTGGCAGAAGCCCAGACCTACCTGGACAAGGTGGAAAATAACTGCAAGGAATTTGCAAGTCCCTTCCGCTACAGGATACCGAGATGCACTGTGAAGAAGGCTGGGCCTTGCTGAAGTGTGGAGGACGGAATTATAGACGAGCCATGGCCTGCTTTGCAAAAGCTTTGGAAGCTGAGCCTGAAAACCCTGAATACAGCATTGGCTATGCCATCACCGCCTATCGTGAAGACTGTGATGACAATAATATTTCTCTGGAACCGCTAAGGAAGGCTGTCATGTTAAATCCAACATATACATATACTAAAGTTTATCTTGCCCTGAAACTTCAGGATGTAGGAGAAACAGAAGAAGCAGAAAGACACATTGAAGAAGCCCTCAGCAGCACATCCTGTCAAACCTATGTCTTTCGTTATGCAGCCAAGTATTTCCGAAGGAAGCGCTGCATAGACCAAGCTCTCCAACTCCTACACAAGGCCTTGCAGACATCACCTGACTCTGGCTACCTGCGTTACCAAATAGGGCTCTGTTACAAGAAACAAATAATCCAATTGAAGACATCCAGAAACAAACAGCCCAGAAGGCAGAGCAATATGAATGAAATGGCCCAACGGACCATTTGTGAATTTCAGAAGACTGTGGAACTGTGGCCCACATTTGAGATGGCTTATGTTTGCATGGCTAAAGTGCAGGCAGAAATTCGCCAATATGAAGAAGCTGAGGCAAATTTCCAGAAGGCGCTGAACATGAAGAACCTTGCAGGGGCACATAGAGCAGGACATTCATTACCGCTATGGCCGTTACCAGCTATTTCATCAAAATTCAGAAGACAAGGCAATCACCCACTACTTAAACCTCAGAGCAAAAGAGATGAGCAAAGAAGAGAGTTTGAAAGCAGGAGAGGTCTCACAGTCCTGGGCATTTTGAAAAACCAACAAGACTTTCAGCTTATTAGAGAAATACAAGGAAAGCCCTTTTTAGGTGCCATAGCCTAAATTATATAAATACCTTTATTCAATATTTATATGCTAAAAATATCAAGTTAAAGCAACTGCAGTTGATGCTGGAGAATTGTCTGTAATCTGTCAATCATATTTTAATAAAACGCTGATTGGTCAGGGAGGCAATATAGGTGGGTAAACCAGACAGGAAGTAGAGGTGATACAATGAGAACAGGAGAATTCTGGAAAGCAGGAAGCCATTCCTTCACTCCTGCGCAGATCACTGAAGAGGCAGCATGTAACTTTCCCAGCTGAGAAAGGTACGAAACCATGTGCTAAAGTAGATAAGGATAATGGGGTAACATAAGTTATAAGAACTAATAAGTAGCCAGAGCTAATGGCCAATCAGTTTATAATCTTATAATCTTATGGAGTCCTGTGTATGATCTCTCTTTGGGGCATGCCGGCTGAGGGGTACCGGTCGGGACAGATACCCCAACAAGCCGGCCCTCATGTTACAAATGGCGCCCAACATGGGGCTACATATGGTGCCCAGACGTGGATAACTGAATCCACAGAAAGCTTGAGAAAGCTTGGGAAATAAAGTAAAGCATGTTTTGTTGGTAGCAGCAATTTCTCGGGTCTGCTCTGCTTGCTAGAGGAAAGCAAACACTCCCATCTAAGAGAGGCTTCCTGACTCAGCTTTAGTGGCAAAACCTTGCAGCTCTTTAAGAGGTCCTGCCACTAAACACTTAAACAGTGTTGGTAAAAAGCTGAACGCATGATTTTTGGGTTTTCAGCCGTAGCAGGAAAAAAAGCTGTGCTGTTGTAAAATGCCGGCTGTCCTGCCAGAGCAAACTCTGACTCTTTCAGGCAGGCAGTCCAACTGAGTGTGGTCTGTGAGCAGAATGCTGCAGCTTGCTTTCAAGGACCTTGAAATGCCATAGAGTTGTGGCAGTGAACACAGCTCTGGCTGGTACCTCAGCCACGACGTTGGAAAGCTAAGGAATGGGCTAATTCCAGCCATAAAAGCCACAGTTTTAGTCCTCTCCTTAAAGACTCATGTGGTCAGAAACAGAGAGATATACAGTAAAGAGAGATTCAAATAGGAAGAAAACCTCTAAATGGTTTACTATGTGTTAAAAATATATGCAGGCTAAAAGGTTAAAGTCATTAAAAATAAAAAAGAAAGGGAGATGTAGGGTGTGGTGGTACACACCTTTAATCCCAATGCCTGCGAGGCAGAGGTACGTTGACCTCTGGGACTTTAAGGGGCAGAGGTAGTTGACCTCTGTGACTTCAAGGTGTGGTAGGACACACCTTTAATCCCAATGCCTGGGAGGCAGAGACAGATAGATCTCTGAGTTCAAGGTGTGGTAGCACACACCTTTAATCCTAGCACTGGGGAAGCAGAGACACATGGATCTCTGTGAGTTCAAGGTGTGGTAGCAAACACCTTTAATCCCAGCACTGGGGAGGTAGAGGTAGGCAAATCTCTGTGAGTTCAAGGACAGTCTGGTCTATAGAGTTATTCCAGGACAAAGATATACAGAGAACCTGTCTCAAAAAGTAAAAGTAAAAATAAAAGAAATAGAGGTTAAAATAAAGATGGAAAATAAACAGAGAATCTTGATACTGTATGCTATTATGTTCTCTTTGAATTGTTTGAATGCTGAGGAAGGAGCAACAGCTGATAAAGGACTGTTGCTTATAAATACTGCTGATCTAACCCGAGATAGGTATTTTGAAAATACCTTGGCTTCAAAACTGAAGTCAAAAGGTTTGTTACTTTGGAGAAGAGATTTTGCTTGTGTTTCCACAGAAAATGAGAGGCTCTGGATTTATTCAGAGTTAAGAAAAATCATCTTTGGCCAAGGGAGACCACCTGAGCAATCTCCGGTAGGAACAGATGGCCCAGATGTCTGAGTTCTACATACAGAATGGATTCAAGGCGCTGCCTGAGATGATCAGGTCTCACAGGATACTCCAGTCAGGACTTGATTATAACTCTAAATTTTCTTTAGGTCCCCATAAGATCATCAGCGCCCCCAACCAGTAGGAAGTAACCTGAAATACTACGCCCACATTCCCAACAAATGGACTATGGGTACTTTCCTTTGTTTAAAAAAAAAAAGGGAAATGATGAGGGAGAATTGACTGTATTCTGTTAATCATATTTTAATAAAACGCTGATTGGCCAGGGAGGCAATATAGGTGGGTAAACCAGACAGGAAGTAGAGGTGATGCAATGAGAACAGGAGTATTCTGGAAAGCAGGAAGCCATTCCTTCACTCCTGCGCAGATCACTGAAGAGGCAGCATGTAATTTGCCCAGCTGAGAAATGTATGGAGCCATGTGCTAAAGTAGATAAGGATAATGGGGTAACATAAGTTATAAAAACTAATAAGTAGCCAGAGCTCATGGCCAATCAGTTTATAATCTTATGGAGTCCTGTGTATGATTTCTCTTTGGGGCATGCTGGCTGAGGGGTACCGGTCGGGAAAGATACCCCAACAAGCCGGCCCTCATGTTACAAATGGCGCCCAACATGGGGCTACATGCAGTAACAAATTTGTTATGCTTTTTTGATGACAATTTAAAAGATGCAATTGTCTATTTGCATCGTATCTTGGATATCTTTTATTTTCAGCTTGATACTTGTTAGAGTCATCTGGAAAGAACTGTCTCCATCAGAATGACTTATGGGCAAATTGTATGATTTGGCCTTGCGTCTCACCTGCTTTTGGATGACCTGTTCCACAGTGGGTGGGTTCATCCCTAGGCCTGTGGCCCTGGTCTCTATAAGATATCTAGCTGTACATTTACTAGTAGGTAAACCAGCAAGCAGAATTCTTCCATGATTTCTGTTCAATTTCCTGCCTTGAATTCTTGCCCTGAGTTTCCTCAGTGTTGGATTGTGATCTTTAAGTATAAGTCAAATAAACATTTTTTCCCAAGTTGTTTTTGGATATGGTGTTCATCACAGCAATAGAATACATAAGGTCATGATGGAATCTGCAGAAGTTGATAAGGAAAGTCACACAGCAAACCAAGTGGTTTGGACCAGTTCCGGACTGTAGAGGAACCAACTTGCAAATAGACTCTGCTATCCCTAAACTTCCCTTTTTCCATCCCATCAAATCAACATGACTATAGTCTCACTTCCAAGGAAACTGCAGAACTTCAGTTCTTTTGATGAAAAAATAATTGGGAAGATGGCAGTCTGGTTCTTTATGTTCCCATCGCCTTCATCAACCCCTTTGTAACAGCATCACATCCCTGGTGCAGGGATGTCTCTCTCTGGACAGACAGTGGAACTGACAAGTCAGTCTATCCAAGAGCCTTCTCCCCATCAGTTCAGAGGAGAGAGCAAGAAGGACAATCCCTGGTTGTCCACAGTTTCGCTGACGAGAAACCTGAAGGCTTTGTTTCAGTTTCCAGTTTCATTTTCCTACTGGTGTGTGCCACACCACACCTCATTTTATAGCACTGTTTCCAGCTTATATATGAGAAGTCCAGTTGGTGCGAAAGTCCAGAAGAGAGCGGAGCACCAAGGAAGGATCCTGAAGAGTCCTCTCCTGGTGAAAACCCAAAGAACCGCAGCCACCTTCACAGCCACCATGGGGTAAGGATTCCCCTGCAATGCAGTTTGAGTGAACCCAGGACACAGACATTTGCTTGTGGCCAGGTCTCACTAAGTCTGCTAACATTCTTTTGTTATGTCTTATGGGCTCTCTTTTTACTACTGAAAAGGGAACAAGGATGCTAATTGTACTGATGGCCCAGAGAATTTGTTCAATGGTTATAATGTGGGCCTGGGGCTGGATGAGTGAAAGAATACTTGCTAGAGTTTTTAAGGCTGTCTCAGACATGTAGTTCAAATCCCTGGGTGATACATTAGCATGCTCATCCCATAGAGAGAGACAGTTACCAATGAGAATTTCAGGAGTAAAATAATGATGTGGGATTCCCTTCTATATGCTGTGAATACCATTAATTAAATCTGTTTGGGGTCTGTGATAGGGTAGATCAGAGCTAGGTGGGGAAAACCAAACTTAATGCTAGGAGAAAGAATGCAGAGTCAGAGAGAACTCATGTAACTCCACCAGAGACAGTCTCTGGTCCGAATCTTGTCAGTAAGCCACAGCCACATGGTGATATGCAGATTACTAGAAATGGGTTAAATTAAGATGTAAGAGTTGGCAAGTAAGAAGTTAGAGGTAAGGAGCCAAGCAGTGATTTAATTAATACAGTGTCTGTGTGGTCTTTTTGGTTCTGGGCAGTTGGGAAGAACACGCAGCCTCCTACAACACAATAAGTTACCACTCTATGTACTTAGAGTACTAAAAGAGAGAAGTTGCTTAGAGTGTCTTCCTTCCCATCTCCTAACCCTACATATTCATTGCCCTTGGAATGGACCCAACTTACTCCCAGAGGATCTTTTGCGATGCTGTTTAAGCTTACTGGTTCAAGTGCTTTTCACCCATCCCTGGCTGGGTTAACACAAGACAGGACACATTATTTTTTCTGACCATTAGTAAAAAACAAAAATGTGGAAATTCTATTCTACTTGATGAGAGATATTTAAATCTTTTCCCGCAGGACACTAAATTGCCCCAGGAATTTATGCATATATGTATGTATATTCACAATCATATACATATATAAAACATAAAGAAGTAGTAGGCACTTTGGATTCTTTTTTATTTTTTTGGTTTCTGGATATTTTGGGTTTTGTTTTTCAAGTCAGGGTTTCTCTGTAGTTTTGGAGCCTATCCTGGATCTAGCTCTTGTAGACCAGTCTCATCGTGAAATCACAGAGATCTGCCTGCCTCTGCCTCTGAGTGTTGGGATTAAAGGCATACACAACACTGGCTGGCTCCATGTAAAGTTTTTTATGTAAATGTCTCTTGCTTTTATGTTTGATATTGCCTTTTGGGTTGAAAATGTCAGACAGTAGAGTTGTTTTCTCTTAAATTTAGGGCTACAGTGATCATCTCTTCCATAGGCAACTATTTTCTGTTCTTGCACATAGAAGCATCTATAGTGCATGAGTATGGAGGAGGCTGTGAGCTTCGGTTGTTGATGAGACAAAATACAGAAAACACAGAGGTATAAAATTGTGGAATAAAATAAACAAGAGGGCAGAAGACACTAAGGGCTGTCAGGTGACAGTCATGGTCATAGGGTCAGTGACTAAGCTGTGCCTGGGTCCAGAGTTACCATGACTCTAGCAGGTGGCTAGGACTGTGGTTTGCAAATGAATGCCTGCAGTGTGCGAAAGGCTGGAGACCTCCAAGTGCACAGGGAAGGCTGGATGCTGAGATCTCCAAGTGCACAGGGGAGGCTGGATGCTGAGATCTCCAAGTGCACAGGGGAGGCTGAATGCTGAGATCTCCAAGTGCACAGGGGAGGCTGGATTCTGAGATCTACAAGTGCACGTAGGCACTGGGATCCAGGTTGCTCTCTGTCCCTGTTGCCCACACAAATGACGGCTGCTTCTGTGCTTCTCAGCTTTCCTGCTGCAAGTGCTGATGCACAAGTGCACGTATCTCCTCCTTAGGGCACAGCTCCCCCAAAGGATCCTGGTGAGCCTACCAGTCAAGACAGATCTCCATGGATGGAAGGTGTCCAGATTTCAGAGTGTTCTTAGCTACCATGTCAATGTCTTTATTTCCCATAATGTATGGGCACCATATCTAATTCCAACTGTGGGTTGCCGTAGGCAGGGAAATCAAAGAATAGCAGGGTTGAATCTGATGTCCCTGGACCATAATTAATCTTCCTGTAGAAAAATGCCCATCGTTTCTACGTACCCAGGAAAATAAGAAATAAACATGTATTTAGTTCTTTAAGATACAGAGACAAAAAGAATCAGAAAAGAAGAAATGCTGAGCTCTCTGCAAAGGCCAGGGCCAGCAGAGTAATGGTTTGATGAGGCAAGAAAGAATGTGGTTGAACACACCTTCGTCAGCTAGTGTTGTTCACACTTCTAGATGTTGGGTCCTTTGGGGTCATGCAAAGGTGGGGATAGACAACCAAAGTCTAATAAACCAGAAAGAACCTTTATTCCAAAAACAGGAATCCAGTAAAAAATAAAATAAAAAATCTCCATGGGGCTTGAAAAGCTTATCAGCTAGCTGAGACCACAGCCAGAGGTGGATTCTTTTAGGCTGAGGTAAAAGGCCGGTTTTTTTCCTGCTGTGACTGCTGAGTCAGTAAAATCTCCCTCAAAGCAGCTATGAAACACCACCAGCAAACTGCAAAAAGCTGTGTTAAACTTTATGTATATTTATATTTTTTTCTTCTAGAATTCCTTTTTCAAGCCCTCTCAGGTTTTATGTAGATTTGATGACCACGTTGAAGTGCCAATTGTTTTAGGGAGAGGCTGTTTGTTTGTCCCAGTTAGCTTAGCCCTGGAATAACCACACAGAAATTGTATTAATTAAGACATTGCTTGGCCCATTTGCTCTAGCTTCTTATTGGCTAACTCTCACATCTTGATTTAACCCATTTCTATTAATCTGTATATTGCCACGTGGCAGTGGCTTAGCAGGAATGAGTCAGCATGTCTGACTCTGGCGGCTCCATGGCTGCTCTCTAACTCTGCTTTCTTCCTCCTAGCATTGAGTTCTGTTTTCCCTGCCTACCTAAGTTCTGCCCTATCAAAGGCCAAGGCCCTTTCTTTATTCATTAACTGAAGAAAGCAACACATAGACAGAAGGATCTCCTACAGTAAAACTGTGATACAGATTACCGTATTTTACACTCTCCATTAACAGGGGTTTTTATTTAGCCAGTGTTTATACTTTCTATACTGTCTTCCTTGGGATGTTGAGGTGCTGTTTACTGAAGCCCTGTGGTCTCCCCTTTGATGCTGTAGCAAGGATAAGGCTTACCCCAGAGGTCATATATCTGTTTCCTAAAAGCTGACCCAGCTGATATCCGTAGGGTAGCTCTCAGTTTGCAGAGAGATGCTATGGCCTTGTAAATAGAGCTATGGGTTGTAAAGCAAAATAACCCCTTGTTAATAGTTCATCCTCAGGCTGCTGAGAGAGCTGCTGACAGTCTGTTCTCATTTTCCTAGACTTACAACATTAAATTTTTTATTTCTGCATTTGTATTTCTGGAATATGCATTTTTATATTCTTATTCTTGATCTTTTCACTAGAGTCTGACCCCGAGCAGTTTGTTGTGAGAATATTAAATTAAGCCCAGTTGAATTTGAAAAAAAAAAAAAGTTCTTTGATGTAATACAAGCGCCTGTCCACAAGGAGGCACAATTGCACTGGATCTCAACTCCAAGTACTTCTAATAAGATGGGTTGTAGAGGTAGCTTTTATGTGTAGCCTTAAGGGCGCATTGAATGTTCTTGTGAGGTGTCAGTAATACAGATAGCATAGAGGTTATTTTTGGGCATTAGCCACCTCCCTCCCTGATGTGGGAGCTTGGGGAGACTTTGACCATACTAATAAAACAAAGGTCACCTAGCTATTGGCCATCTCTGGTCCTGCTGTGGGAGCATTGTATGCCCTGGCTCTACAGAGAGTACAATCCCCAGGCTATTAATGATCTCTATTCCCAGCCTTCAGGGTGGAAAAGCAAGCTATACGTTTCTCCTAGTGAAGAAACAATCCTACATGTCTATCATTGCTGGTTTCCTTCGTGCTCATCTGAGGGGACAAGGACTTTGTGCCGCTGAACAGACAAAGACAAACAAGAAGAAAGAAACAGAGTGAGAGAGAGAGGGACAGAGAGACTGACAGACAGACAGACACAGAGATACAAAAAAAAAATTCTGCTTTTATCTCTTTCTAACATGGTTTACCGAATGTTATTGGTAAAGAGTTGAGTACAGGAACAACTGCCAACCATTCCCAGAGGCACTTCTCAAATATCCAAATAATTGTGTCCAACATCAATTCAACTCAGCCAGTGGCTCATGATTAGAAACAGAAACAGAAATATTTTATTATGAAACAGTGCTCTGAAAATTAGAATGGACGAGTGAGATGAGGGATAAGCCCTAAGAGCACTGGACCATGAGGCTCATAACACTTTATACGGCATGAATAAAGGGCCCTGTCTCTGCTGCTGATTGGTACATCTAGGACATTTTGAGCATCCTCTGACCATTGCTTGAAGCCAAGGGAAGGAAGGGCTGTCAGTGTTTCTACTCAAGAGGCTTCGTTCATGGTCACTGATGACGCTGTCTCTGAGACCACAATCTCATGCATCTCTCTGTAAGGTCTGACATACCGTGTGACAGGAGAAGGAAGCATCACAGTTGTTTCCCTCAGAGACTGAGACTGCTGCTGCAGAGATGGTTGAGGGGGTAAAGGGCTTGCCAAGCAAGCGTGAGAATGGCAGTCTCAGTGCTGTTACTGAGAGAAGAGCTGCAGACCACTGTCTCTCTTCAGAAAACAAGCAGGTGAAGACCAGCGCCTAATGCTGTCCACCGGCCTTCATAGGTGGGCCTTGGCATTTGCACCCCCTCCACAAACACAATTTAAATGCCATGTGAAAAGGAGGAGCATGGAGACAACAAGACTTAGAAGAAACCCCTAAAAGAAAGTTATTTCCTGATCGTTATGACTGCTTTAAAAATTTGTTTATGCTTGTTCTTAATTTATTTTAATGTATTCTTCTACATGGTTTTTGTTTATACTTGAGATTAATATATAATTACTTTTCTCCCTTTATCTTCCTTTCCTATTTCAAGCCCCTCATATCTACCCTTCCTACTCTGCTTCAAAATAATTGCCTCCTTTTTTCATTGATTATTAATGTGTGCATGTATATAAACATATGTGTGTGTGTATCTGTCCAGTCCTTAGACTGACTCTTGTTATGTATAATATCAGGGTAAAACATCTGGTGCTGTTCAACCTAGCCTGGGAGATACCAGCTCTCCAGTCCCCACTCTCCTGGTTGTTCATTGTTCTTTGTGTATCACTGAGGCTTCACTGACTCTTCCTATCTGATCTATATGTTTCCTGTCCATTGTTATCATCTTTGTTCAGCTCATCTTTGGTCATTCAAGCCAATGAAATTTTCAAAAATTTTAGAGGTGAATTCTGTCTCTGGTCTTATGTATAGAAATGGCATTCAAAACTAATAAAAGACTGTAAGATTCCCAAAATGGGAGGGGCATCTACCCATCTGGTCCCTTACTGAGATGTGTGCTTCTCTAAAGCAAAAGCCCCTGTCTCAGAGTAGTTGCTTCCAGATGGTCACTTCTAACCCTCTACATTTGCTGGGAAAGTGTTGTTTTCTTTTTCTTTTTCTATCTCCCTTTTTCTTAACCCTGTCAGAATGCCTTGAGACAAGGTTAAACTCTTTTTTTTTTTCTGAAAGTATCTCTAACCTTCAAAGAGACTGAACTTTTGCCAGATTTGAAACCAAGTTAATAATGGTGCCTGAGCACATACGGTTTTTTACACAATCACACAGATAACAGGGACAGACGGCTCAAACACACATGACAGACAGGCCACAGACCACCAACTATAGAAAGGTGGAGAAAACTGAGGAATAAATTCTGGGGCTCCGTGCCATGCCCTGTGCTCCTAGACAAAGCCACAATTTAAACTTTTCTTGCTGCATTTTCTCGTGGGTGCGTTTTCCAGCTTAAATGGTGGCTAAACTATACTTGTATATGCTTCCTACTCTTTTTTTGCATTCAGTTGTATGAGAGACTTAAAATCTGCCCAAAAGAAACTCTTTCTTCACATCAACAACTTAGAGATGCTAAATCAAGAAGTCAAAATCATTTACTATACTAATGTCCAAACTGTGTCCCTGTCCAAATCAGCCTCAAGAATAGTACTTATCTATGGATAAAGGTAGAGGGAGATGATTAAAGTTGGCTGAAGATGCAAGGGTGGGCTCTTCTGCTACAGGACTGGGAGGTTTTCTTACAAGAAGGGGAAGAAAACAGAAAAGAGTTGTCAGAGTTCATTGCACAGACAGGAAAGACTACATGAGGATTGAGCAGGAATGTGGTCCTCTGCATGTCAGGAAGAAACACCTATCAGGTGAGGTGCCATACAGGCAGGCTATTTGATGTCGTGACAATTAGGGTACTAATCTGGTAAAGGGGAAAACCAATTCTGATGACCTCTCCACTATGCTAGAGTCATAGCTGGGATCATTCTTGTGGATTCCTGACAATTTCTCCAGCATCGGATTTCTCTCCAACTCAATTAAGGCTCCCTCTATGAAGATGTCTCGTACATTGCTCTCCCTCTCTATCTCCTGCCTGACTCGACCATGCCCCAGTTAACCTCGGAGCTCTTAATCATTTTCTTTTACTGGTACTCTGAAGTGTTTGTCTCTAGGGTTACCCTTTTGACCTAGCTTTTCTGGGGTTGTGGATTATAGTCTGGTTATTCTAACTTTTACATCTAATATCCACTATGAGTGAGTACATACTGTGTTTGTCTTTCTGGGACTGGGTTACTTCAGTCAGGATGCTTTTTCTACTTCCATCCTTTTGTCTGCAAATTTCAAGATGTCATTCTTTTTAGTGCTGACTATCCGACTTGTCATCACAGCATTACATCTAGTAACTGATGGAAGCAGATGCAGTGACCCACATCCAAGCACTGGGCTGAACTCCTGGCATTCAGTTGAAGAGAGGGAGGAGGGATCATATGAACAAGACTGGGGGAGGGAGGTGAAGGGCATGGTGAGAAAAAAAATAGAGACAGCTGACCCGAGCTAGTTGAACTCACAGACTGTGGACTGATAGTTGGGAACCTGCATTGTGTTGAAATAGATTCTTTGAATGTGGGGTGACAGTCATGTATCTTGATCTATTGTGAGACTCCTTATCAGTGGGATCAGGACCTATCTCAGGTACATGAACTGTAAATTTGCATCTTATTCCCTGTGGTGGACTACCTTATTCAACCTTGATACAGGGGGAATAGTCTTGGTCCTGCCTCAACTTGGTATGCCATACTTTGTTGAGTCCCCAAGGAAGGCCTTACCTTCTGAGGAATGGATGGAGGGTAGAAAGAAGGGCAGTAGGGGGAAGAACAAAAGGAGGGATAACTGGGATTGTTATGCAAAAAGATATATTATTTAAGTAGATAGAGCCCCCAAAGTTCTGTTGTGCAAGCCACTGGGCCCATGGAGTTTTCCTATAGCTGCCTGTAGGCAGAAGGGCTTTACCATGCTATCAGTGTTCAGCCCCACGTCTTTCTGTAATGCCGTCACCCATGCTTTATATGCCTTTTTCTCTCATAGGAATACTCGTGCTAGTGCCATAATGTATTGATTATTTTAGGTTTGTAGTTATTTCAATTCTTTGTATGCAAAATCACTTTAATTACAGAACCATCTTGGAGATTTTCTAGCAGTTTAGCCTATCCCACAAAGCTTCCTTTGAGGCGATGGTGCTGTATTCTGGTCTTGTAGTATTTAAAACTGGTGTTCATGAACCATAGCTGGGATTTTGAGAAAGAAGACATCTTATGGGAACTTAACCGATCGAGAAAAGACGGAGTTCCTACAGTAGACATTGAGTCCAGAAATGGAGGCTACCCAGAGTCATCAGAATTTTGATCATAACATCTGGATAGACAGGGGGATATCCCTATAGGGGATAGATTTGCTGGTGAGTCCACCTGGCTGATTCATGAGGTTTTCAAATGGCTGTGATGTTCTATTTGTCGACACTTAAGGGTTCCAAGTTAGAGTGTTCCTTTATTGGAAAGACCTAACAGGGTATCGCACCTCCTACTGCTGTTCTTGGCATCTGATCAGATCAAAGCCAAAGACAGCTGATTTAAGCACTATGGCATCTCTGGCCTCTGGCGGATAACTACCAACAGGACAAGGGCCTATTGTCATCTAGCCATGGACCGACTCAGAGCTGCTGCTGTGGGTGCCTACAAAACCCGAGTTGGTGTGGGACAATTGTCTATATTCTGACAATCATGTATTTTAATAAAATGCTGATTGGCCAGGCAGGAAGTATAGGCAGGTCAACCAGACAGGAAGTAGAGGCGGAGCAATGAGACTAGGAGAAGGCTAGGAAGGAGAAAGCGCCTTCCTCCATTCCTGCCCAGACCACGGAAGAGGCAACATGTGAGCTGTCACACTGAGAAAGGTACTGAGCCCTGTGTCTAACATAGATAATGATAATGGATTAATATAAGTTACAAGGACTAATAAGAAGCCTGACATAATGGGCCAATAAGTTTATAATCTTATGGAGTCCTCTTTGTGATTTTATTTGGGACTTGCCGGAGGTGGGGTACCGGGTAGGACAGGTACCCCAACAAGTCGGCCATCATGTTACACCGAGTGACTCAAATCTATTTCTTGCTCTCCACACTGATAAAAACCAGGAAACTACTGTAGAGTTTATAACATATCCATGTGTTTAGCCTCACTAATCTCCCCAAAGACGAGAAATGGGAAATACTGATGTCATTCCCATTACTCGGATGGGCACAGTGTGATACTGAGGCATGAGTGATGCACTCTAGAAAAGAGCTAGTCCTGCTCTATTGGGAGACAAGAAAGCACATGAAGTGTAGATGCATGTTTAGAATGCAGGGATTGCTTGTAACCCTAGGAGAGGACAGCTAAGTTGAGTCACCCCTCCCACCTATGATGCCCAGAGAAAAATGTTCCAGAAAAAATCATATCACTAGTGTCACAAGGCTGTCCTAAGGCAGAGAGCATGTCTATTTGTTCTGAGTCACCCTATTTCTGACAGGATACCAGCTGTTTGTGTCTGAGATGAAAAGGGAAGGACCTGCAATGATCAATACTTAGTGTTGAACCCACGACCATATCCTATTTAGGTCAGCTCAGGTGGCAGGCACTTGTACACATTGTCCTCAAAGACAGTGGGGAAGGGGCAATAGTTTAATCGAGTTCCACATCTCAGAGCAAGAGTCTGACAAGAATGTGGGTGGACCTGTATCTCTGTGACTGTGGCCAGTCTGGAATAAATGGATGAACTCAAAAGGTAAGATTGTAAAAACACGTACATGGATGTGCATGTTCAAGAAGCCTCCAGCAGTTCTAGTAAGTGGAACTGAGAGATCGTTGTAACAAACAGATATCAAGAAATTCTAAATGGGCAAAATATTAGATTTCCAGGAAATAAGCAAGAATGTTGTAAAATGCCTTTTTTGGTGTCAGATTCTGGCCATGTTGCAGATGAAAAATCTTCCTGCTTTCTTCTCACAGAGAGAATGCTGGTGCTGATCAGGTCAAGAAGAATCTGCTTCAACTGAAATGTCACTTCACGTGGAAACTGCTCTTTGAAGACATTGACATACCTGATTTGGAAATGAGAATCTCAGAGCAGGTCGAGTTCCTAGACATCATGAGCACAGTGGGGATGCACAACCTCCAGGCCTATGTGAGACACCTGAAAGGCCAGCATGAGGAAGCTCTGCAGAGCCTGAAAGAAGCAGAAACCTTGGCCCAGAGAGAGCAGTTGGGCAAGAGAATCCTGGTGACCTGGGGCAACTGTGCCTGGGTGCATTATCACATGGGCAGCTTGGCAGAAGCCCAGACCTACCTGGACAAGGTGGAGAATACTTGCAAGGAATTTGCAAGTCCCTTCCGCTACAAGATGGAGTGTGCTGAGATGCACTGTGAAGAAGGCTGGGCCTTGCTGAAGTGTGGAGGACGGAATTATAGACGAGCCATGGGCTGCTTTGCAAAAGCTTTGGAAGCTGAGCCTGAAAACCCCGAATACAACACTGGCTATGCTGTCGCCGCCTATCGTGAAGACATTGATGACAATTTTATTTCTCTAGAACCCCTGAGGAAGGCTGTCAGGTTAAATCCAGCAGATTCATATATTAAAGTTTATCTTGCCCTGAAACTTCAGGGTGTAGGAGAAACAGATGAAGCAGAAAGATTCATTGAAGAAGCCCTCAGCAGCACATCCTGTCAAACCTATGTCTTTCGTCATGCAGCCAAGTATTACCGCAATAAAGGCTGCATAGACAAAGCTCTCCAACTCCTACACAAGGCCTTGCAGACATCACCTGACTCTGGCTACCTGCATTACCAAATAGGGCTCTGTTACAGGCAACAAATGAAGCAACTGAAGACTGAGCCTGGTGAGCAGGGCAGAAAGCAGGAAATGGCACAACGGGCCATTTCTGAATTTCAGAAGGCTGTGGAACTGAGGCCCACATATGAGATGGCTTATGTTTGCATGGCTGAAGTGCAGGCAGAAATTCGGCAATATGAAGAAGCTGAGGCAAATTTCCAGAAGGCGCTGAACATGAAGAACCTTAGGGGTCACATAGAACAGGACATTCATTACCGCTATGGCCGTTACCAGGTATTTCATCAACAATCAGAGGACAAGGCCATCACCCACTACTTAAAAGGTCTAAAAATAGAAGAAACGTCCTATGCCTGGAGGAAAATACTCATAGCTTTGGAGAAAGAGGCTAACAAAAGGATTAAAAATAATGTTCGACTTGTGGAGAGCACCAGCCTCCTTGGGTTAGTCCACAAGCTGAAAGGGAACATGCCCGAGGCCCTGATGTACTACGAGAAGGCCCTGAGGCTCACTGGGGAGATCAACCCTGAGTTCTGAATGCAGCTCACATCTGCAAAGATAATGTACTCGTCACTGAGATTCCATCCCTCCTAACTGACTGCTTTCCCCACAACTGCATACTTGCTGGAATCCAAGTACCTAAATGCATTGGCTCCTGCCACCTCTTTCCCACTTTCTCATTGTCCTGTCTAGAAGGAACTTCTGTCCCCACTACACCTGCTCACTTAATGGCCAGGCCTGACTCCTGCTGTTCTCGACCCTTCGAGCCCTGTCACAAACCTTTTTCCTTATGTCTGTGCTATGAGAAAGAAAGTCTTCATCCTCTGCTTGCTTGTGTCCGGGACAAAGAAGTCTTCTCCAATCAGAATTCAATTTTGATCATCAGAATCTCTTACAAAAGTACAACCTCAGAACAAAAGAGATGAGCAAGAGAGTTTGAAAGCGGGAGAGGTCTCACAGTCCTGGACACCCATTCACAGCTAATGAGAGACTTAAGTGTGGGAACAGTAATGCATGGGAAGCTTGCTGGGACCTTACAGACTGAAGATGACATAAAAAGTTTGCCTGATTTTTTTCTGTCCTATTGATAGTGTGTTGTGTGTGATGCTTTCCCTCCACTAAAATAAATTCATTAAAATTCACTGGAATCACAAGCACTTTCAGTACAATTTGTTGATAGTACTCCAAAGGTTCGTCTTTCACGGTACTCAGCAGGGCATGGGATAGCAGAACCAACTCCCAGGAGTCTAGTCGGCAAGCCGGAGAGAAAGCTGTGCACATGAAAGCAGCACGTGGGATGTGAAAACATGAAGAAGGTTATTTCATTCTACACAACACGTGTTAGTAAGCATACCTGATGCTACCCAGGTACCTGAGCGCTACTATTTCTCAGTAGGGAAGATGACGCTTGGGATGGGCATAGAGTTCATTTGCCTGACCCTTGGGAAAGTACAACTGATACTTTCTACAGATTTATCCATGTTAAGTCAATAACATGTTTCTTAAATTCAAGCAATGGAAGCTATAGTGTCAGCTCTCAGGATTCATACAGATGCTCCCTGGTAGCCCTCATCAATGGAGAAGAGTAACTGAGAAGAAAGGGGAACGGGAGAAAGAAAGATTGGGAAATAGCAGGAAGACATGCAGTTTGATTGACAAGCTAGGATCTGGTTATTTGGCAGACTCTTCTCTTCCAGGAAACCATTTCCACCTTTGCCTGAGGGGAGACATATTTACAAGATATTTCAGGGGATGATACGTGTGTCAGATACTGGATGCTTCAGCTATCTGGCGTGTTCCTTTTATCACTAAGCCCTGTCTCCTTTACTTCATGAGAGTTATAGGTCAAAACTAGAGAACTGAAATGCTTAAGGTTTTTGCATTGATTAAAGTGCCTTGAGTTCCTAGATCCCAGACTCCCAGGCCCAGGATGCACCTTTGTGCTCTATGTCTGCTGACCTCTTGGCCAACGCTCAGGAGCTCTTCTCTGCCCTCTGCTCCTCCCCTCTTCCTGCTGTCTAACTGTCCTGTCAGCTCCTTCGGGTTTACTTTGCTCTCCCCTCATAGTGTTGTCTCTCTTTCATTGTCCTGACTCTTCTCATGGACACAACTGCATGGATGAAACTTCAACAAGCTGTATCCTGCCCTGCACAGTATGCAAGGAACAATCGAGGGTAATTTCATGTGAATGCAAGCAGGCACACAAACACACACAACACTAAATAAATATGAAAAATATTTAAATTAATAATAATAAGGAAAAACCACTGTGCTTTATGGTTTGAGTATCTGGCTGTAGCTAACAACATCTCTAGTGTTTACTGAATATGGATTATGTGTGCTTAGTGACCGGTTCTGTTCTCAGTGTTCTTTGATGAACTGTAGTTGAAAAGAGGAGTGAAATGATCCCACACGAGAAAGAACCATAGATGAGTAGGAGGCCAGGAGGGGGCTGCTGGTAGTGATTGCTGGTGTTGTTGTCAGAGTCAGCCCTAGAATGATGCTGAGGAATCAAGCTAGGGGTCAAAAGGCCCTAACCAAATCAAGGGCAAGAGCTGCAAGTCAGGTCCAGGTCTAGAAGGGTGATCAGGGGAAAGGGCCTTCAGTAGAGCAGACTGCATCAAGGGAGGGGACTAAGGTTGGTCACATGATTCTCAGCCCTTGACACAAACATCAGGTATCAGCTGATAGGTTAGTGTGGGGCTGTGACATCCCAGTGTCAGCTGACTGTCACTCTATGGACGATATCCAAGGATGCAAGCCACACCTCTTTGATCTGATTTGTCAGGTAAGTCCTTGGGCCTGGTTTCCTTTAAATGCCCTTTAATTCACCTCATTTTTAATCTGTATAATAATATTTTTTCCCACATACCATCATTTATTGATTATCCAGAATTTTAGCATCAAGCACACAGATCTTCACAGTCATTCCATGTCCTCTTCCCCTTGTAAACTTACTCATAAAAGCAGTAAAATAAACAAACACACAAACAAGAAAAACACAAAGTCCATTTTGTGTTATCTAGATAGTATTTGGGGCATGGTCAAATTCACAGTGGCCGGCCCCTGAAATACAAGTGCGTCCTTCCTCTCCTACACATTCACCAGAAGCTCAGGAGCTATGAATCGTGGATCGCTAGTCTTCAGCTCTTTCTCAAGTTTTCTTATATTTATTTATTTAATCATTCCTACATTCATTTTGCTTTTTTGAGACTGAATTCTGTGTGTGGTTCTACCTGTTCTGGTACTCACTCCGTAGACCAGGTTGGTCTTGAATGCAGATATCCACCAGTCTCTCTCTCTCTGGAGTTCTGGTTTTAAAGATGGGGGAAAAAGTTGATGTAGGGTATCTGACATTACAATGATGGACACTTCTATCACACTTTGTGACACTTTTTAAGAGTTCTCTTTGGTGGCTCCCTGTCTAGGGCTGTTATGTGTTTTAAAGGAAGACAGGTTGAAAGGTCCAATGTCTGTCACAAAAGCCTTCCATGTCTTCCCCTCTAACCTCTACCTGTGATGCCATCGATATTACTTTCACCACAAAAGTTGTCTCTGTGCTCTTTCCAGTCAGTGGGGACATGGGTCATGATGCCCCACTCAAATTCTGGGGACACGATAGACCACAAACACAGCCCTATGCTTCAATAAGACCACTGACAGAGACCCAGCTGTCATAGACTGACCTGTCAGAGGACATTAACATGGCTACCCACAACAATCTGATACCTTAGAGCAGGACAACCTACAGATATTGATGGCTCCCTGCATTGGCAGAGACCAAGGATATCCCCATGGCCTTTGATGGAAGTTCAGGTCACAGAATGAGCAAGAACACAGGCTGCATTAGCTCCATGAACCCAGACAAGGCCCTTTGCCACCCTGACCATGAATGTCACTATGGCCTCAGGTGACAGCACAGACCCCAGACATCCACATGGCCTTTGATTATAACTCAGCCCTTAGACAGCAACACAGATCACTGCTGCAGCAGG